ATAAACCTCACCTCATATTTGATAAAATTATCACTTGTCTCCTTCTGTCCAAATTAATTAGCAGTAAACACTAATGGACTAAAGCTAAAAATTTGCATGCTTTGATTTTTATTTTTATTTTTATTTTAAGAAAGAAAAAGAATATATGCAACAAGTAAAAGAGTCTTCGATATTGTTCTTCGGCTTCATCACACTGATGAACTTGGTCTACCTTTTGACATGATCATCAACGACAATAGACAAGTGAAATCACTAACTCGCACCCAATGGTTGAGAGTCATAAACCTTTGTCATTGAATGGTATTTCCACATTCATTATGATCTAATCTAATCCGACAACATACAAAATTTTGTTCATATTCATCTTATTGTAGTATTAATGCGAGTGAAATACATTTTAGTCTCTATAATTTTGGTCTATTATAGTAAAGGACACATTTTTTACTAACAAAAAGGTCCTTCTACTTAACATATGTTAGTGTTATAGGGGTGTATGCAAGCCGAGCCGAGTACTTGGCTGCTTGAGCCTAAGCTTGACCGAGCTTGAGGTGTTGGGTTCAGCTCGAGCTCACCTCCAAAATGGTGCACTCGAGCTCAGGCTTGAGTTCATCAACCACTCCAGTGGGTTTGGATCGAGCAGCTGCTGAGCTCTAATCGAGCTCGAGCTCAAGGAATCTACATGAAGAAAAACCCATAATATTTGCTTCTTTTCATCTCTCTTATTTCATCAAAATAACATTCATTTCCACAATTTATATAAAGAGAGAACCCAAAAGAACAATACTAAAACCATCACTATACACCCCAAACCAACAATGTTAGTGTATGCCATAGGAACCAATCATGTCGTCGGTTCCAAGATATTATGTTTTGTATATATATGTTAATGTATATAGTTTATATATACATTTTTATCTTATTAATAAAAGAAAGTGTTCTTATTTCACATGTGGTTTATTGTTTCATTTATATATATGTATTATATGTGAAATGTCCGAAAGATACAAATCTTTAGAAGATCAAAATCATCAAAGTACTCCCTATATAGGTAATATTAATTGGGCAATAATATTACATAGTAGACATGCTGAATGCCTCCGTAGAATATCATGTGATGGTATTAGTATGGATGATTATAAAAGTTATATCACTAGGGCATGAGCATGGATAAGCGGTTAGTAAACTGTTTATCGAATATGATCATTTATGATGAATCATATAGACATTTAAAATGTAGTCAATGATGCATCATAAGATCGTACTAGTGTATTATTAATCTTTAGACCTGAGATATCACGGTTGGATTCTGCATAAATGCATATAGTTCATATGGTGTATAAACATGAGGCTAATAATGTCATGTGTTAATAAGCCGATTTGGTCATGTGTTGTTTAATTATGTTTGAAGATAAGTGATAGTCAAGATTGAATCCGTTGACTTGATATAGATTGATATCAAGTTCCTAGACAAATGTCAAGATACATTGGAAAAAGGAAATCGCCAGCCGGGGTATATAAAATGTTACCTGACAGGTTGTTTCATGGTGACATGTTCCATATGTATCGATTGTCAATTTGATATAAAATTAAGATAAATATTTTGACATACCATGAATCCATTCTTAATTGAGATTAGACAACGGAAGGATTTGATTATATAGCGCATATGATTATAAAAGGGTTCGTTAGAGTATATCTTCATTGTGACTTAAGCGTTATGAAATATTACTAGATGCCTACCATAATCAGTATGAGTTTTGTTCATAAAGAGTTATGACAAAACATATCGGAATAGACTATAATATTAGGCCCACGGCTAGGCCACAGTGAACCTAAGAGGTCACACATTAAAAATAAGAAGAATGGAGACATAGCCAAAGAGAGTTGATTATCCAAGATTGGCTAGCACCTACCAAGGGTAATAAAGTTATTTATATTATTATCATTGAATTAGATTCGATGGAGAGTTATATTAGTTACTATAAATAATTTAAGAGTTAAATTGCTAATTAGAATTAAATAGAATTCCAATTCATAATTAATCATTTTCTTTATATTAAATTGAATTTAACAATGGGTTGTAATTGTAAACATATGAACAATTTAAGGGTTAAATTATTATGTTAACAATTTAAGAGTTCAATTGTTAATTGTGATTAAATGTTAATCCAATGTTTTTATTTAAAGAAGTTTAATAACTTCATAATAATTATGGAATTATTTACAATTCCAAAACAATTATGAATTTGTTTAAAGAAGTTCAAAACAATTATTAAATTGTTTACAAAGCTAATATATAAAAAAAAAATATATATCAATTTTAAGATAGAGATCAAAATTTCTAAGAACCCTAAATGTCTCTCTTAGCCTAATTCTTCTTTTACCTTAGTGTGGATACTCTTTTATTTAATTTTCTTGAAGTTAAAAGTCTCTAAGGTTATTAAGAACTTAAAGTAACAAGTTATACTTTACTTGTTTTCAATTTGATTGAAATTTTTTGCAAAATAATAATATACGTATTATAGAATTGTATTGCATTCCAACTTTCAAGCAAACCTACTCAAAAAGGACAAGTCAAAAGCACAAACCAACTAAAAGAAAATTGTAGCAAGACACACTACAAGTGATCAACAACCATTAAGCAAATAGAGCCCCAACAGGCACAATCCCAACTCAAAGGAAACTGCAGTAGGGCGCACAGCAAACCAAGAGGACCAACAACCAACAAGCTGACTGAACTCCAACTTGCAGAAATAGCAGCCACCCTCCAGCCCAGCCATAAGACAAAAAGTAATAGCCTTAATTAAGGAGAAAACCAACCCAAACTATTAAGCTGGCCTTTAGATACTCAAGTAACGAATCAAGTTGGTGACAGAATCAGGATCTTAGAATGACAAAGACAAGTCACGATAGGGACGAGAACGGCACCAGTGAAGTCATCAGCGAGAACGACAGATTGACAGAGGTTGGAGAGATATTACGTTTTTTTCTGTTATAATTTCAAAATTTCCAAATCGTTTTGGGTATCTTTCGATTTTGGGTTTGTTTGTCATTTAAAAAACTTTAAAATTACCTATTGCCCTTATTACTGTCAAAACTATCAAAAACACCCTTCGAGCTCGCTGAAGCTCGTGAGCTTTTCAAGCTGCAAGCTAGAGCGATCAAGCTCGGCTCGACACTATAGTCAAGCTGCTCAAGCTCGAGCTGAGTTTGAGCCGAGCTCGAGCTACTCGTTAGCGGCTCGGCTATCACCGACTCAGTGTTGAACTAATAGTTAAAGGATATATATGACTTTCCGTTTTATAAAATATGAAAAAGCAACTAAGGAATTTTGTTTAATGTAAAAATAGATAAATATATAAATATATTCCATATAATTTGTTATAATTAGAATCAGAATGCCTAAATCTCAATTTCTTCAAATTTCTCTTCATCGAATATCTTTCCAGAAAACCATACTCAACGCCACTTTAACATCAAATCCTCACCATCCACAGTCATTACAAACTTCACAAAACTACTAATACACTAAATCATACCTAGCACAATTGAAGAAAAGATTTCAGAACATCACCATTCATCTAGAAGGTAAATAAATTTTACATAATTTAAATCAAATTTTGGAACGTACTCCTTCCGTGGGTATCTTGAGAGAAACTGGAAGAACAAAATGAGATTTAGCAAAGAATGGGACTATTGTTTGGTCCGACGGAGGAGACCAGAGCCTCGTTCAACCTATTGCTCAAAGGTTTGGATAAAAATATGATAATGAGTCGGCCCAAATTTGTACATAAAAAAACCCCAAAGGAATAACAACAGAGAAACACAATAAAGTTGCTAAACTTCTAAGGAAACAAACTTGACCAGCAATTATCTAAAGTAATAACACAACTGAAATTAAACATTATTTTTTAATATCTGGCCAAACTCATAACAACTAGAAGACGTGCTGCATGGTTGCGAACTGGAAGGAACCATTGGCTACAGAAACTGTTGAGAAGAGCAAACAAAGGCCCACATCTTTCATGCCCAAAAATTCACGTGCGAGACATGCACACAAACAACTCCTCCCTTAAATGGGCTCTTGTCCTCAAGAGCAAAAAATTGGAAATTGCTGATTTTTTTCAACAAAAAAATAAAAATAAATAAAGGGTGGGAGATTCTTGTTGTTGAGCTGCACAGATGAATTTGAGATTTATGATGCCACTTTTATTGACGCTAGAGGAAAGCAGTAGAATGGATTTTCTGGCCTTTTCTTAGAGGTAAAGAGGGGGGACGAGAGAGTGAAGAAGATGATAGGGCGCAGAGTAGGAAGAGATGAAGGAGGAGAGCATGAAGCAGGGAAAAGAAATGGAGGAGGCGATGGGTAGGGTTTATTTTGGATCGGACTTTAATTTATTTTTTATTCAATTTTTTTTTAATCTAAAGAAAAGAAGTAGGGGTATCTTGGACTTTATAGAAAAGATGAGTAATACTATGTTCAATAACCAAATTGTACTAATCCAAGTACTAACAATTGAAATTTTAAAAACTCTTTTATTTTTTTTTAGTTTTTTGGAGGAACTGACGTGACAATAAGAAAGGTCAGTCATGTCAGTTAGTACTTGGGTTAGTATGATTTTGATTAGTGTATATAACATTATTCCAGAAAAGATATTGTATTAACCAACAAAATTCGATGACGTCCGTTAGTTTCAGGGACGATTTTGCACGTAAAAATTCATTTTTTCCTTAATTAGTAAGAGTATAACCAAGGGACGTCTAATATTTACCTCGTATTAATGCATGAAAACTAACAGTTCATATTAATTAGAAATTGGTTAAGTTGAAGGGCAATTATGTGATTTCACTATTTTAATCTGTGGTGATAATAAGTTGTTTTGGTCAAGTCAAAGTCAAGCGGACGTAGGTGATAATTTTTCAAATGTGAGGGAATGTTCTGATAGTTTCTCATACGTAGAGGATATGCTTACGACAAATAAAACCCTTTGTAGTAACAGCAGCGGCGACATTAAGTAGTTCGCACATAAATCTCCACAACGACGTCGTACTCTGCAATCCGCAATCAGAAATTCAGAATTCAGAAAGCCACAAAACCGGCAACAGCTTCACTGAAATATTGATTGAAACGAAAGACGGAAGTTAGGGAAGAAGAATGTCATCGATATACGTGTTAGAGCCGCCGACAAAAGGAAAGGTGATAGTGAATACGACGCACGGGCCACTTGACATCGAGCTCTGGCCCAAGGAGGCACCAAAAGCTGTGAGGAACTTCGTGCAGCTCTGCCTCGAAGGCTATTTCGACAACACCATCTTTCACCGCATTATCAAGGGCTTTCTCGTCCAGGGTGGCGACCCTACCGCCTCTGGCACAGGTTTTTCTCCTTCTTAATTTCTTTGTTATATTAGGCTATCAATTGGGGGATTTTGGACTCAATTTGAAGTTCAAAATTAGGTTTGGAAGATTAGTTTCGAAGTTATAAAAGATTAGTAACTGGCAAAGAAAATTGTTTTTAATTGCTTATAAAGTTGTTACCATGAGATATGTAACTAACGAAATAGGAAACTCAAGATTGGAGAAAAGTTTGATGTATGCCTTTTAGATAAGAAAAGCTCTCGAAGTCAACCTTTTTTTCATTACTGGGTTTTTATTTTGAATTAGTTTTTAGGGTTCTATCTGAAAACTATTCTGGGAAGGATTTTGACCAAATGTATTTAAGAATGGTATTGAAGTTTTTTTTTATGAAGATACGAGGTGTGATTAGGATCTTAAATGTTGAAGAGTAGTTCTTCCTGCCTTCGATGGATTGATGCCTGACTAAAACAGTAATATCATCAAATATGACTTACGCTTATGTTGTTGGCACGGACAAAAGACCGCTTGAAGCAATAAATAAGAATACACTTAAGTTCATCAGGACCGGCTGCACTAATAACATGAAGAAGAGTAAGTAGGGCTTCTCAGACTACTGATTATTCAGTTCCATATTATGAAAATAATTCCAAGGATACAGTAAAGCCCAAATTTATAGGGTAATTGGAAGAGAATCTACCATTAAATGTGTATCTAGTAGTTGGTACGATAGAATGGGTCACAAATAAGGAAATTAAATCTGAGCAAAATTACATAGCGTCGATTTGGTGTTCCTTCACAGACTTCACAAACAAAAATTTGTGGATGAGAAATGAATTTTCATAGTAATAAAGGTAATGTGAGATATTGAATTATTTAAGAATTAAAGTCACAACTTAACTTTTGTCGGTCTGTTCGGTTCTAAAACAATATTCTACTTCTACAAATATACCTTTGTAATTATTGGCTTGAATTATAGATTGTGACTTAAAACAAATGATTTTTTCTTAAATCTTTTTCGGGGGATGAATTCTGGTTTTAAGGAAATAGAAAATTATATTTGGTTGCTTACTTTGTGCAAGCTTGCTTTTGCAGATATCATTCATGTCAGGGTCTTTGTTTATTGACATTGTGATTAAAAATATCGGCAGGTGGTGAGAGTATATATGGAGGCCCCTTTGCTGATGAGTTCCACTCACGTCTAAGATTCAACCACAGAGGGCTAGTTGCATGTGCAAATGCTGGCACCCCACATTCTAATGGGAGTCAATTTTTTATATCTTTGGATAGATGTGATTGGCTTGATAAGAAGAATACTATTTTTGGAAAGGTAATGCTGATTTCATTTCAAAATGTTATTCACCAATTATTTGGGGTGGCTACTGAAATCATTTCCTTGTTTTCAGGTCACTGGAGATTCAGTATTTAATATTTTGAGGATAGGTGAGGTTGATACTGATAAGGATGATCGGCCTTTGGATCCGCCACCAAAAGTGCTCTCAGTTGAGGTATGATTCTTGTAGTATTTCCTTTTTTTGGATGCCTAACAATTTCCAGAACTGTTTAGAGTTCGGTGATAACGGCAACCATATCATTGATTATGTAAAGAAATTGCAATATTTTTGTGTAAAACATATTAATACAATACAAAAACTTAGTGCTTGTATGCAAATTAATGAGTTGAACCTCTTTTTCTTAAATTCTTGTTTTAGGTATTATGGAACCCTTTTGAAGATATTGTTCCAAGAACGCTATCAAGGCCTTCTATCCAAACCACAACTGGTGCTGAAAATAGAGACACAAAGAAGAAAGCTGTGAAGTAAGTTTCTTCACCCATCATGTGGAACATCATCTTTAGGAGCCACTGAAATTAACATTATGCATACTTTGTATTTCTCACTCTTATTTTTTAAGGTGCATGTGGTATATTTGGACAATGCAGAAAGCTGAACTTGCTTTCATTTGGAGATGAAGCCGAAGAAGAGGAGAAGGAATTGGCAGCTGTAAAGCAAAAGATCAAGAGTAGCCATGATGTTTTGGATGACCCCCGTCTTCTGAAGGATGATAAAGGATTGGTAATGATCAATTATCTAACATGTGTGCACTTTTTATGATTAACAAACTGAATGGTATGGTAGATCACAAATTTGTAGATCTAGTTAATTTTTTTTTTTTGTTTATAGGAAACAATTATATGTACTGATATTAAAAAGAGTTACAGCAGTGGACCAGATGTCCAGAACAGATTCTTAAAAGGACATAAGCTGTACAATATAGATGTGAATCAATCTCTACAAAAACCCCAATGACAAGTTAATTGATCACCCCATTAGATGAATAAAGTAAAGTTAAAAATTGAGAAAATCCTTAGAGAATGCGATGCTAAGAACTGAATCCTTTAGAAGACGGGGGTCATCCAAAACGATGCTAAGAACTGAATCCTATTACATAAATCACTAACATCTTCACCAATTTTTCTTCGAAAATGCAAGCATTCCTTTCTTTCCATATCACCCAAAGGATTGCAAAAATAACACAACTCCATAGGGTCTTGGCTTTCTTTCCTCTTTGAAAAGCAACAGTTTTCTCTACAAGCAAATCTCCACAGGTTTTTGGGATAGCCCAGCTTTGTAGATCGAGTTAATTTTATTCCACAAATTGCTAATTCATATAAGGACATAAAAAGAGAGAAACTTTGGCACTTTTTTCTTGTAAATTATTTTTCCATATATAAAATCTTTGCACTTCAGTCCTTGAAATACCTCTTTGATAATTGCTATTGCTATATGCTCATCAAGTTTACTACTGTTTTTATTACTACAAATAAAATATGAACATCTCATGTCGTAACCAATATGATCAGAAATTTGTTACGGTTCACATATGTAACACATTGAATTCTACAATGCAGGGCACTTCTGGAGACAAAACGAGAGAGGTGCAGTTATCCGTAAGAGAAGCTCTGAGCTCAAAGAAAGAAGAGCCAGGAAAACTTATGGAAGCTGAATCCTTTAATTCCCCTGATAATAGTGATGAAGATGAGTCAAACTTTGACGCAAGAATGCGCGGGCAGATACTTAGAAGACGACAAGAGCTGGGAGATGCCCCAATCCCACCTAAGCAAAAGCCTCGAAAGGGTACCTCATTATATTCGACACTTTTTTGTTTTTAATACCATACTTCCGTGTTTACTGTCAAGATAAATATTTCCTCATCACATGTACTAAAGGGTCGTGTGACTTAAAGAGTTTGGAATTTGTTTGTTGTTTGAGTCACAAGATCCCCAACCCTTGCATAAAGTATAACAGACTCCCACCATGGAACTACTGAGTAATTGTATAGGAATAACCACAGATGTTTATGACATAGGTGTGGATACCATTGCAACTTGCTGGAGAAAATATTTTGTTTTCTGCAATTAAATGGTACTTCAACATTGGTATTTCATGGTGTCATATCATCTATCTATTGAAGTGGTTTTCTTATGTATCACTTTTATGCATCCAAATCAGTGCTGCAACATACTATTGTTCTTTGATACTTGAAACCTGACTGAGTTCCAAATATCTTTTACTGGTAGCATTTTAAACTTATTGAATGGTATGGCAGTTTTTTAACATTTTGAAAATTTAGAAAGAATAGCTTGGATATATTTATTAAAAGAAATAAAAAAGCTTAGATATCGTCATAACTTCTTTGTAATTGCTCTTGATATTAACATGAGTTGTCTTTGATTATCTTTTTTTTTTTTTTTTCTTTTTTTTTTTTTTGGTTTGCAGGGAGCTCAAGCCCAAAGTATAATGACATGTCTACTCGAAGGTAAAGATACAAATGAAGTATTTCAAAGTTTCATTATTTTTTAAGCTCAATTGTGTCCAGATTGCTTGCTCATTTTCCTCTTGGAATGTTGATTTAGTTTGGAATTTACACATACAAATTCTTATTGCAGACTAATTTTTACTAATTGACGTGGCATTGTTGTATTTATTCTTTGCTACAACCTGTCTGGAGCAGCAGCAAACTCTAAGAAAACTTTTGCTTGCTTAATTTACCTTTGTTTTATGGATAGAATTCGCACAAGGTTTATTCCTGAAAACATCCTCAAAGCATGATTTTAACCTAGTAACGATTATTGAGTTAAGAAATATAATTAATTTTTGGTAAACAAGTGAAAATCTTGTGGTTAGACAAACTGGGTACAAGAGATAAAAGATCCTCTATATGGGCTTGCTTGGCAAACCAAAAGAAACTTGATTCTGTATCCATACCTGGTAGGATTAGGAGGGTTTTCAATCATTAGGAAAAGTACTTAATGAAGGTAACAGTTTCTGTTCCTAGCAATTCATGACATAGAGAACCTTCCACTTTAGAACATTCTCCCTCTTCCTTAAAATTTGACACAGTTAGAATCCAAATACGTCAACCGAAGAGTGAAATTTCAAATTGCTGCCAGCTCACTGAAATTTAGTTAACCTTTGCTATGGATTAGGAAAATTGATATGGAAATTAGGAGGATTTTCAATCATTAGGAAAAGATCGAGCAACTTTTTGATTAAATCCTTGTTTGATAAATATTATCTTTAAGGTATTAAGTTTGGATACAAAAGTTAGTAGCTTTTACAAATTGAGCATCACTTCCTTCTTTGTACAACTTTGGCCTCTGTACTTTTAAAGGTATAACAACTTTATGATTTCAAATAATGAACCAATAATGTGAACAATTTTTTTTTTAAGTTTTTACTGAAGACATTTTGTCGTATTTAATTTGTTTATTTGCATTGTGGACTGTAATACTTTCTTCCTGTGGCTGAATCTGCTTTTTTTCTAAATTAATATTTTTCCTGTCTGATTGAACCTATTCCTTTCACTGAGGTTAACAAATTCAACACTCACTACTATTGTTGTTTTTCTCATCAGATCTAATGCAGAAAGCATTGATGATGAACAACCAAGGGTGGAAAAGTTGTCCTTGAAGAAAAAGGGCATAGGGTCGGAAGTCAGAGCTGAACGCTTAGCCAATGCAGATGCTGACTTACAGCTCTTGGGTGATGCAGAACGAGGAAGACAATTGCGAAAGCAAAAGAAACGCAGGCTTCAAGGACGTGAAGATGAAGTACGTTATATATCACAGATCATCTTTGTTTTTCATCCGTTATATGCTTGTGAAAGTTTGTACCTCATCCTAGTTTTCTCTTGCTTATCTTCCATTCTTTCCTTCATTTTATGCTGTCAGCAGTGGCTGTCCCAAGTGATCCATCTGGTTGAAATATCATAATATAGTTTAATCAAGAATGATGGAAATCGAGAGAAGATGAAAAGAGGCAAAAGCCAATGCATTAGCTGCATAGGTGTATCTGGAAATCATGCACATTAAACATTTTAGGTATTTAAGCTGAAATTTTAAATGAACCAGAAAATTTAACCAACATTATTTAAAATGTAATAAAATGAATATTAACATTTTTCTTGTGTGCTGTTTATTTAATATTCCTCGAACCATTTCTTTTGGAAACAATTCATATTTAACAGTTGAAATTTCTACATATTTAAAACTAATTGTTTCCTGGTGAGAAAAAGCCTTGAAACCTAAAACTGAAGGTGAACTTTTGGATGCCAAATTTAATTAATTTATCATATTGCTAAGACTTGGACAGAGGAGGTGAATTTACGGAATATTAGGACATTTCTTCATACTGTACTGAAATCCTCACCCACTCCCCCTTTGTCCCCTTAGCAATTTTAAATGCAATCCTTTGTTATATTATCAAATTGAGGTTAATGACTTATCCCATATAAATGATCAGTGGAATAAAGATATCTAGAATGAAGGAAAGAAAATAAATTTTTGGGGTTAGTTTGCGGTGTATCCATGCATGAAAACAATAATCTTTTATGTGTACCTATTTATTGTAACATACTTCTCTTTTATATGTGTTATTTACCATTTTTGTTAACATGTGCTTTGCTATTGCTACTATCAGGTTTTAGCAAAGCTTGAGATGTTCACAAAGGCCATCTCTGAGAAAGCAAATGCCTCAAGCAACAAATCGGAAGGCGGTGAAGATGAGGATGTTTCTGATTGGAAAACTGTAAGGTTAAAGTTTGCACCTGAGCATGGCAAGGTAAGCTTTCTCTATTCCTGACATCTCCAATTCAATTCGTTTCATTTATCTGCAGGCCTCACGCCAATTGTATGTGCAGACATTTTACATTTGCTATTGTCTGGAATTGACCAAGGAAAAAATGAAGTCTTAAACATTGCAAATTTCCTTTTATTTGTAACTTAAAAAATTATGATGATAAGCATAAACAATTGAAATTAGATAATTCATATAGCAGTTTTGGAATTGCATCTTCATATGCAGTGGAACTTGTTCTATAATTACTTATTTTTGGGAATGGTTTTACAGATTAATTCTCTTTCATGTCCAGACCCCCCACACTGGACTTTATTTTTTATTTTTTTGGTGAATCATCATGCAGGATAACATGTCCCGTAAGGATGATCCAAATGACTATGTTGTGCATGACCCCCTGTTGGAGAAAGGGAAAGAAAAGTTCAACCGAATGCAAGCCAAACAAAAGCGGCGAGAACGGGAATGGGCTGGCAAGTCTCTTACTTGACTTATCTTAGCAAACTTATACGAGCTTGTGAATATTAAAGGCCGAATGAAACTGATGAGTTGGTTCACATGGTGGTTTGTCTAAAACCGTGCAAAGGTTCTTCAAACCATTGAAGCCAGTTTCCAAGAAAATAGGAGCTTGTGTTTTATTTACTTTAGTTTTATTCAGCCCAGAGCAACTTTAACTGAAAAAGAGAATTGCAGCCCTTTTGGTATGTAACTTTATACTCTACTCTTTTTTTTTTTTTTTTTAAATTTATAATATGTTTAATAAGTAGGTAAGAATGAACGAAGTAGAAGACCAATTTATAATTTGGTATTCAAATAATTTGACTGCCGTTCCCACTGGTTCAATCAGTGTGAAGAGTTTTGGGAAATAGCCAGCCCCATTAACTAAAATTTTGAAAATGTTATTATTAAACAATTTGACCTAGAACTTGAGAAAGAGGCATATTTGTGTGTCATGAGAATCAGTCAAGGCAAAGAGATTGACACGACGTGAGCGTCTGTAGAAAATCACATGGTATGGTTTGAGTTGGTGCCTCTTCTTGGATCATTCATTTCACACACCACGCGTCATTTTGTTAAAGAATGAAACCATTTCTAGAATCACTCCGCAAAACTTGAAGTTAAGTTAACGAATTGACAGCTATAAATTCCAGTTGATTGTGGGGAGAATGGATTCCTGGTTGTTAAGCAAATATTATCACTTAGCTTTACAAGTTTACTAATTATCAATTAAAGACTTAACAGTTTACTTATAAATTATAATTATATTATATCTAATTAATAACAGTTATAATTTTAGTTTTAAATTTTTTAAAGGTTTTTTGTTTTTTTATTAAATAATAAACATAGAACACGTTAATATCATTTATATTTTCTTTCCCAATTAACAAGGCAAAATGGTGATGCTTTTTGCTTTGATGTTGTTCACATTTCAATTTTGGTGTTGGTCAAAAGTAGCGTAAATTGTTGACATTTGGAGCTAAAGTCTCATCGTAACAAACACACAGATTAACTTCACTGCGAACTTAAACCATTTTGTCAACTTCTTGTCTCCCGAAGTGGGACCCCCTTCAATTTTCTTATTTTTGCTTTGCTCACCGTCTCATTTTATGCGTCAATATGTTTTCTTTATAAATAATTACATTTACCCCCCTTGGTTTGGGTCCTGATTTTGTAGACTTCCCTGATTCTAATCAAGGGTAAGTAGTTAGAACTAGTTTGTTTTTTTGCAATAAAATTAAAATTAATTGACGCCTATTAGTTTAAGGGGTGTTTTGTAGTGTTTAAAAAGTTGAGATTTGAACTGGGACCAAAAATCTAGGGGATTAAGTCTTTGTCTTTAGTATAACAAAGACTCCTCTCTAATGAAATTACTTAATGAAAAGTCTGAAAATATTCAAAGGTAAATAAGTTTGACTTTACTTTACTTCATGACTTTATTGTATTTTTACTTCTTGTTGAAGTATATAATATTCTCTTTTTTCACTTTATTATTTTATAAATTAAATTAAATATAATAGGCAGCATGGCATGGCATTTTTGAAATGTAGCGTATATTCGCTCAGCTCAACAGATTACTTGATAAAGATGGCATTCTTTACAACCAAGTAATTCAAATACTACTCTCCATCCACACCTTACCATTTCAAATCTTCATTATTATTTTGTTTATTTTTTTAAAGTTTTATATTGTATTATTTTAGCATTTTAGTAGTTTTTATTTTTATTTTTAATGACCAAAGTGTTTGGATCAGTTTACGTACACCTAACTAAATCTTCCCGACCTAAAAGTTGTTTACCACCCTCACCCTATTAGGTTGTCGTTTATGTTACTTGGCTTTAAGATTTATTATATAAACATGATTGTTTCTCAGTTTCATATTATAGGTGTCAATTAATCATATTTCTATAAAGTTTTGATACTCAGTTGGAACAACTCATTCACCTTTATTCAAAATTTCTAAAACAATTCAGAAATGTTGCAAAATTCTATCATATGACCCACAACTAAGTGACCAGTTTGACAAATCCAACATACACTTCTCTCTCTCTCCTCTCTCTCTCTCTCTCTTTATATATATATATATACTCACTTGAGATCCAAGTTGAGATCAAATTTGGATAATTGAAATACATAGTGTTGATCGTGATTTTGACACAACGATTCGCACGTGCAAATTGTTATATGATTAGAAATTACTGTAAATTATTAATCAGATACAAAAATTGAATAATAATGAGAGAGATGATTTTTAAAGTGTTCGATGCTTAAAGCAAATCCTATCTACTGTTTCTTTTATATATGAGAATTACAAGAGATCGCGTATAACAAACCGAACAGAGGTACAATGATAAATATTCAAGAGAATATCAAGCAGTATCTTTCTATAGGTTATCTTGTTTTGAATAAATATTACAATCAAAATGAGGTTCAGTATCGAATCCGAAAATGAGAAGGGGAGTCCTCTATTTATATAAGATGAATTAAAGGTAATGATTATAAATCTGCAAGTGGGTGGTGACGTGAAAGTCTTTCCTTCTCCCATTAGCTGATAACTTAAGATATCCTCAAATTATCTGGGGCTTGGAAAGTTGCGGTCCTCAATCACTTAAGATAAAACATAAATCTGTTAAGTCTGACAGTCATCGATGAGCAACGTAGCTCTTGGATAGATAAACCTTCCTAAACTCTGATTGGTCTTTGCTGAAAGAGATCAACATCCCTCTGATTTTTTTAGATATACACATAGCATCACCTTCTCGAGGATCAAAAGGGGTGGTTTATTAATAGCTAGGGCAATAATAATTTTGAAAGAATATGGGTAGTAAGTAGATTTAGACATTCCAAAAGAAGTTGAGAAAAATGAAAGATCCATCCGCATCCGCATCCGCGTAATCAAAGTCACCGTCCAACAGCACCTACCCCCACCACCCCCACCCACATCATCCATTATTAAAGAAGTACTGCACCTGCCGTGTTCACACTACACACGTTTTTTTTCACTTATCCATTGAACTCAACTATGTTTGATCTTTGAACTTTTATATCATTTTCCTTGACATATGCCAAACCAAACAACACTTCATCGACCTCTTTTTTATTATTATTATCAAACTTTTCCCTCCCCCATTTCCGTATTCCAAATCTTTGTGTTCACACTTTGTTCACACCGTTAAACCCAATTTCATAGACTTTCTTGTTTTTTCTTTACCCCTTTTTCATTCCTTATATCAAACTCTCCCTTCTCTCAATCCAACAAAAAACCATCATTTCTCTTCTTTTCTATTTGTGTTACGTTTTCATCTTTGCTTCAATCTTCAACTTTCTTCGAATTATGAATGACCACCACCACAGCAACCATCATAGTATCAGGAACGCGAGGCGAAAAGATGAAAGATCATCGCGTTAAAAGCGATGTTTGAACATGAAATAAATCATTTCGCGAAGATGATGATGGAGAAGAGGAGGAAGAAGAAAGACTTAAAGGGTATTATTACTTCATTGATATTGTTGGAAGAACACGAGAAGGGCATTGAAGAAGAGCAGAACAAGCCTCTGCTGAAGCTAAATCACTCTTCGACACAATCAAAGAAGAAGACCAAAACCATGTTGGATATTACTCCGATCTTCAAATTACTATTCAGAAGAAACTGAACATATAAATAGAAAGAAGACACGCGTTCTCGCCTCTTCCGTTGCCACCATCGCTGCCGTTGCTGAATCAGATAATCTACAAAAGTCTGTCAACAGAAGCGGTGGGCCGGGCACGGCCCGCACAGGCGTTTGTGGGTCAAAGACCGGTCAAAGGCTTGGTGGGATGAGTGCAATAGTCCTGATTACCCAGAAGAGGAGTTCAAGAAATGGTTCAGAATGAGAAGGCAAACTTTTGATATGATAGGCGAAGAGCTGAATTCTGTTTTGCCAAGGAAGATACAACTTGTGCGAATGCAATTCCTGTGAGGCAAAGGGTTGCCGTTTGTATCTGGGACTTGCCACTGGTGAGCCACTTAGACTCGTGTCAAAAAGGTTTGGTTTAGGCATTTCAACTTGTCATAAATTGGTTCTTGAAGTTTGTACAGCTATTAGAGTGTGTTAATGCCAAAGTATTTACAATGGCCGGATGAAGAGGGTTTGAGGAAGATTAAAGAAGAGTATGAAGTCAGGTCCGGGTACCAAATGCGGTTGGTTCTATGTAACCACACAATTCCTATTATAGCGCCTAAGATTAGTGTTGCACTTATTTCAACAGAGAGCAACTGAGAGGAATCAGAAGACTTCGTATTCGATTACGGTACAAGGTGTTGTGGATCCGAAAGGGTTTTTTACTGATGTATGCTTGGTTGGCCTGGTTCGATGCCTGATGATCAGTGTTTGAGAAGTCTGCCTTGTATCAAAGAGCAAGCGGGGGTCTTTTGAAGGGAGTGTGGATTGTTGGAGGTTCAGGGTATCCCTTACTGGATTGGGTGTTGGTACCTTATACACAGCAGAATTTGACATGGACCCAACATGCTTCAATGAGAAAATCGGGAGATTCAAAGGGTTCTAAGGATGCATTTGCGAGGTTGAAGGAAGGTGGAGGTTTGCAGAAAAGAACAGAGATTAAATTGCAGGACCTGCCAGTGGTTCTTGGGCATTGTGTGGCTGCATAATATATGTAATGAGCATAGAGGATGGATCGAAGCTTGAAATTTGACCTTGTTGACGATGAGATGATCCGATGTTCCTGAGGTCAGCCACTCATGAAGGCTAGAGATGCCATTGCTCATAATCTTTTGCACCATGGCCTTGCAGGCAATGCATATTTATAGTTGAATGATTTGTGTTTGTTCATTTGATGAGAATATGATTCTTTTGTTAATAATTATCATAGTTGTGTATTCATCCTAATTTGATGAGGGCTATCTAAACATTACAATATATATTTTGCCCTCCTTCAAATTGATGAACATTGCTATCTTACATAGCTTTAAGTTTATACCCAAAGAGACAAACAATGTGCCTAGGTTCCATACTCCACAAGAATAAAAAGATGAATGATTTAACATATATATCTTCTTTTGCTATGGTTTATAAGTGTTAATGTCAAATTGTTGAAATGTTATGTATTATCATTCTGTGATTATTTAGCTGCATATATACAATGATCCCAGAAACCCAAACTAATGTTCTTGTATATCTGTTTGAAGGAAAGTTTTTATGTGTTGCAGAATAACATTTTGCTTTATACCTCTTGCACTTATATTATTCTGTTATTTGACTCATCAACACTCAAATTGGCATGAATCTTGCTGTTATAAAATGGGTCAACATTCCCAAACCTAAGAGTTGGATTATTATATGGTTTAAGTTCCTTCTCACTGTTTGAAAATTAAAACAAGCACACTTTGAACATGTAACAATGAATATTTTAATTTTCGATAGGTTTCTCATAACTGAAAAAATGTGCATATGTTTGATTAAGCATTAATGAAATGGGCAATCAATCATCAAGAGTCGTTAATAGGGGAATCATGTCTTCTCTATTTAAACCACTAAATTATAACTGCACTTTTAACATAAAACCATATAACAAAATGTAAACCACATCTCATCAAACTCTGAAAATGTCAACTACCCCTGTTTGCCGCACTGCAAATTTTTGTTAATTAATGATAAATGAAACTGCATGAGGTCCACTTTCCCTTGGTTTTTGTTTGTTTATTTATGTTGTTTCAACTGTACTACCAGAAAACTATATATATTTGGTATGAGTAAGCAATTTGGGCGATAATGAATGTAACTAATGCTGAAAATAGCCTATATTTCACAGAGGACAAGGATAGAAAATGACACCTTTCGATGTGTAGTGTGAAATCATCAATATTCTCCTTTCTCAAACATATGGAACTCACAGCAGCATTCAAATCACAACCACTCACAGAATTTTCCAATCTGAATTGTTTAACTTCTGGAAAATCCACACAAAATGTCATGGAAATAATATCAGTGCTGCTACTTAACTACCCTCTGTTTTCATACCCAAAATTCATCCATTTCTTTCTAATTGAAACCATGATGCAAGATCATTATAACTCAACTGCTTTAAAGATTTCAATTTTCATACCCTAGCTTATCTCTCTCTCTTAGTAAGACGAGATTTTTTAATCAGTTTGATGATTCTTAACATTCAATTTTCAACCATTTGATGGCTTCATGTCAATCATATTCTTGCAACCAACACTATAAGATTTCAATTTTTATGTGCCACACAATTACATTCAAATGTGATTTTAAATATTTTAAGATTATTTAAATATTTTTTTTTAACATCATTAGTAACGAATTAAGGCAGGAGAAAAACTATGTGATAAAGTGGGAAGGTTAAAAATTTGAAGATGGAATTAGGACGCAAAAATAAAGGCTTTTTCAATTAGAGGTCCATTCCATCAGTTTGGGGAGAAATGGACATAAATTTACGCAACCAACCAATGCCTAAGGGTGGAGCATCAATAGGAATGTACAAGCTTATTTAATCACCCAACGTAATTTTATATGAAAAATGGCTACCAAAACCACAGAATGGCTCAAAACTATAACTATACAATTCAAAATGAGGACGGCTGTTTCTATACCATAACAAATCCAAACCAACTAAATGGATTGTCGTCCAACCATGCACAAGTACTCACCGTGGAATCCCAATCCGCTGCTCATCACCATCAGATGGACGGAAAGGGAACTGTGCAAATTGGATCCTCAAAGTAGGGGACTCAGGTTTTTTATCATCAAACTTGTAACCTGTAGAGAAAACCCACATTTACAGACTGTCAGAGATCTATTCCCGAGTAAAATGATTAATCATTTGAACAACCTCAAGCATCAATCTTGATTAACAAAATTAGTGCCGAGAGTTCAGCATGCATATCAATTGAGTAGTTTCTTTTCCAATAAAAGAAACTATTTATCTTAAGCCTATGCAAGTAAAAGATAAATAATAAATTAGTTGACACCTGCTGCCATAATGTAACGAACATGAAATTTTGAAAGAAGTGTAAATGCAATGTGTTGTGTTATAATCAACACTGAACTATATTACATATAAAGAGTATGCTAGCGATGAATTTACTGGCATATGGAAGTATCCTTTTCCCATTGTCCCTAAATGAAAGTAAAGAGAAGTTCAAAGAATTTTCCAAAAATATTTGATAGAAACATCAAAATAATTTCTTGTATTACCCTACCATTAAGAGCTTCCATAGCAGTCACAGCACACTTTGAGTCCATGAACTCCACGAAGCACAAAACCATAGCCTTATCTCCACTCTGTAACACACTTATTTATTGAGAAAATTACAGAACTCTGAAAACATAAATCTAACAGAAATAGCACAGAATGTAATCATATGAGCATCAAGAACTAGAAAATGATGACAAGTTGATGGGCCAGAATTGATTCATTGGAATGTATACCATAATATGCATTGTAAAATCTTCACATTAGTTGAATCTAATAGTTATCAATTTTGTAAAATTCAATATTATCTTTGGATGTGGCATTAAAGACCTAACCCAGACCCCATACTCCCTGAGACAAATCCTGGACAGATCCAAAAGCTTGTAAGTAATTGAATAAGTGAGGCTAAATAGAGCAACATAGCAACAAAGAATACATATAACTACTCTAAATCGTTGGGTAAAATTTTCAGTGTATAGCTTTCAGGTCAACTTGAGTTGAGTTAATTACGATGCTATAAACAGAGGGTACAATATACCACCATCAAGATTCCGGACACTCAAAACCAGAGTCACTAATCATTCCATCCTCCACAAAAATTGCTGACGTTAGATGAACATAACATTCTCAGTCATTCTCCAGATAAACCATATGCACTGAGACTTGAAACTATATTTGACATAAATGAATAAAGGAATCTCTCAGTTTGACAATGTAAGCCCTGCCTCCAAACAAGTATAATAGGTTTATTGTACTTACACGTCTGGGCTCCTTGTGAACAACTTTGATTTCCCTATAGCCAATAAAGGGACGGAAAAGATCTTTTGATTATATGTCAAGGAGACAGAACAAAGCAATTGATTAATGGATTTTCAAGAACATTTCATTACTTTTTCATTACGTCACAAGGCATATCTCATTCTGGTGCAGCAGAGCCAATGCCTGAAGATGATGGAAATTTTTCGATTCGAAACTCATATTATATGTACTGATTTTTCACATTTCTAAGAAGTATCCAAATGACCAGTCATGAAATTAAAAGAAGCACCAGGCATCTCAAGATGTCACACATCAACAGGATAATGCACACATACATACACATGTACGCACAAAAGCACACATAGGAAAAAAGGATACGAGCTACTTCTCTTCTGGTACAGTCAGTTGGGAGTCCATCAACAAACAGAATGTTTGATTCTCCTTTTATTAGCAGGGAACCATTAACGTTTCTCAAAGAATTGGGCATTTCAATCCTACCAGGAATAGGTGGACCAATGCCTAGTGCAACATCCCGTCTTTGAACTATTAAACTTGGATCTTGTGGAGGAGATGAGTAGCCCTTTACACTAGCTCCTGCTGTGATTGCACCCATAACAGGCTCAGGATGAACTCCAATCCCTGCAGTTTCATCCAAGCCATATGGCGAAGGCCGCACTGCACTTATCTGGAAGTAAAAGCACAAAAAGGAAAAGAAATCCCCTCATTACGTACACCAATTGTAGAATAACTAAAAACTTTGTCTACAGTGAAATTTTTACTTCTCTCTGTGGAAAATCAGAAGCAACTCGCAAATCACTAGAGCCCAAAGGTTGATGAGAAACAAAAGAGGGTGCCTTAGGAGTCAAGTAGCCAGGAAAGCTAGACCTTGCAACACTGCCTGTTACAAAAAGGATTATCAATGGGAATATCTATGCTAAAACCAATTTAGAAACAGGAAAAGATGGAGAGGAAAGATAACTAGTCATACATCAAAACAGTAATATGCTGTCTACATCTTTTTCATGCAAGGTTATTCTACTATTCATCAACTTAATTATAAACAGCAGCAATCTTCCCAAGACATGGCACTAAGAGGTATAAATAGTGCAAAGACAGATGTGAAGACTAGAAACCATCTATCAATAAAGCACCAACATGTGCGTAGCAAAATATCAAATAACCAAAGGACCATTGACGTGAGACTGAACCAACGTAAGTTCATTAAAGTAAGAAAAGCAATGGTTCAGGCAAAGGAACACAAGCACTCATAGGATCCATCTAAAGTCAAGAACTTCAATATGAGCAAATGTTAATTCAGTCATTCCAGTCAGAGCTACAATCAGTTCAGCCACCCGTCCATCATATCTTTACACAACCAACCTTGAGAAACAAGGTGAAATTTTCCAAAGTAAATTGAACAAAGGAGAGATGACACTGTTGACACAGTGAACTAATCAACCAAGCAGAAAATGAAGAGAAGTACCTACATACGATTCTTCAACAGGAAGGAAACGTTTGAAAGCATTAGGATCAGGCATCCAAAAATTCAATTAAGAAACCTAAACATCAGACAGTAACTAGAGAAAACAGTTAGACACCAATGTTTGGCTTAATAAACAGTAAAACATAACAAACAATAATGAATTCTAAAATTACAAACGCGATTTTCATCATCTAAAAACTTTAAAGATCGACTATCACATTACGAATACAAACTAGGCAATCATCTTAATAGCTGTACTACCAAATTTGTAATACATAAGAATTAAGAATTTTGTATAGACAAAGCATAAGCATCTATCAAGTAATTAGATATTAAGACGTAATAGTCTTGGCAGCATTTAGACCTCACTTTTCACTTTATTTTCTCACATTTTCTCGGCAAACAAACAAAGAATTCGAATGTTAAGGTTTAACTGTTAGTCTACGGTGCGCAAATAGAGTTTGAGAAATTAAAGCTAGGGAAAAGAAACGAACCTCTGTCTGCGGAGGCATCGTATCGATAATAGGGATCACTCATGGCTTCTGTCAGTCTCGCCTCCTCTCTCGCCTCCTCAGTTTATTTACCGGTATTTGAGGTCGCCGGATGACGGGATGCGGTAGTGGCAGTTCTTTTACGGGTAAAAAAATGAACACCCTGAGATATCAGACTTACGAATCCCCCAATGTTTTGGAAACTATCAATAAGATCCTCAATTGTTGGTGAGAAAGTTAGGTTTAATTACCCCGAGGAAACACTCACTATAATTTATCATCACATATATAAATTGAACAAAAATTACAAAAAGAACTTAATAAACATTTAATTCATTGAATAAAATTTCATAATTTTTTTATAAATTTAAAGAGTAAACAATATGTTCCCACCCAAAGATTAGCAAAATTCCAGTTCCCACCCCTAGTTTTATTTATTCCACTTTCTCACCCTTAAATTAACAGAAAATCATTTAATGTAACGGTTAAAGGGTAAAGTTGTCAATTAAATCGCATTAAATCTTAAATAAAAATGAAAATTTTAAAATAACCCTTTACATCTCAAATTTCTCTTACAAGCACCCATCATTACTCCCCTCCCTTGTGGCCGCCAGAAAAATCCAGACCTAGCTAGATTCCAGTGCCATTTGACATCAGCGCCACCACTACTAGCTTCCCCCACTCATCCCTGACAAAACCCACCATCCCCCAGCCTCATCGACCTCCATTTTGGCCGGATCTAGGCCTTTTCTCCGCGATTTTCCCCTTCCTCGTGGCTACCGGATAAATCAAGATCTAGCCGGATTCTGGCGTCGTTTGACATCATCGCCACCACCACTAGCTTCCCCCACTCATCCCCAACAAAACCCATCCATCCCCCAGCCTTGTCTGCCTCCATTTTGGCTGGATCTAGGCCTTTTCTCCTCGATTTTCCCTTCCCTTGCAGCTGTTAGAAAAATCAAGACCAAGTCGGATTCCGGCATCGTTTGACATCACCGCTACCACCACTAGTCTCCCCCACTCATCCCCAACAAAACCCAACCATCCCCCAGCCTCATCCACCTCCATTTTGGTCGAATCTAAGCCTTTTATCCACGATTTTTCCCTCCCTCGTAGTTGCCAAAAAAGTCCAGATCTAGCCGAATTCCGACGTTGTTTAACATCACCATCACCACCACTAGCTTCCCCCACTCATCCCCGACAAAATCCATCCTTCCCCCAGCCTCGTTCGCCTCCAGTTTGGCCGAATCTGAGCCTTTTCTCCCAATTTTCCCCTCCTTAGTGACTACCGAAAAAATCTAAATCTATTTGGGTTAAAAAGTAATTTACTAGTAAGGGCAGCTTGGTAATAACATTCTCCATATTGGGTCAAAACCCAAAAATCATTAAACAATGTTAACTTAAGGGTGGGTATCTGAAATAAATGAAACCAGGGGTGGGAACTTGGATTTTCACTAATCTTTGGGTGGGAACATTTTACTCATTTAAAAAAATTGAAATGACAATGGTGTTGGGCACCACCAGCGGTGGTCAACTACTGGTAAATAGAAAGTCAACTATTGTTAAGCGGTGGTCAAGTCAAAATTTGTTCCACTAGTGTCAAATTTTCTCCCATTAAGACCGGAACAAGCTAATCTATAGGAATCCATTTGAATCACTGGATTCCGACTCCAATATTAGCCGCAAAATGTGGTGGACTATTTCACCACCTTCTGCGGCCAAAATAAGTGTCAAAATATGGTAATTCAACACCTTCTGCAGCCAAAATAAGCTTCAGAATATGGTAATTCAACCAGATTCTTGTAGGTCGGGAAAGTATGACCCAGACTAGGCAAGAGGTGGCAGTTGACCAGTGATCAACAATGGTTGATTGATGCTAGCTAATAATTAATATTTATCATAATACATTTTTAAATATTTTATTAAAATACAAATTAGTACGAAGGAAAATTTGTATTTTGACTAAATACAAAAATCATTATGAAAACTTGATTAAAAATACAAAAAATAGATTAAACATATATATTAAAATTTATGGATGGATGATCCATAATCCAATCCAATCTATCTTCAGATTATAAGAATGGATTGGATTGGAGATTAGATTAGACTGGATTGGATCTATCTAATCCACAATTTTTGTCATCCCATACAAATAACCTCTTGAAGTGAGCTCTCCTTAGGACACATTTATAAGACAAATTTTATTGTTGGGGTTCTTTTGTGCTAGGGGTAAAATAGTAAATATAACTGATATGAAAACAATTATAGAAAAATTACAGAAGTAACAAAATAACTGATCAAATAACATTATTAGTTTTTAGTCCAAGAGCATAGCCTAAGTCTCATAATTTTTAAATATTCGTTGTTTTTTCGAAACTTTTTGAATCTGAGTACAATGACAAGTAAATTTAAGACCTTCCCATGTAATACCCCATATCGGTGAGCAGTGTCCCTAAGGAATTGGTTTTGGTGTAGGGTGCAAAGTGTAAGAATTCAAAGCCTTGGTGGGAGTAAAATGTTACAATTGAAATGATGGAGGGCCAAATAAAATTTGGTAGAATTAGTATAAAATTGGGTTGTTCACCCAAAATGGAGAAGAATCGATAAGGAGATAAGGAAAATAGAGAAAGGAGAAAAGAGAAGAAGACGAAGAAGAAGAAGAAGAAGAAGAAGAAGAAGAAGAAGAAGAAGAGGAAGAAGAAAAGAAATAAGAGAGAGAGTGATTTTGAGCCAAGGTAAGTGTGAATCATGCTTGTATTCATCCCAAACTCTAGCTTTCTCCCAATTTCCTTGTTTATTGTTGGGGAAAAACCTTAATTTTGGTGTGTTGAATGTGGGTGTATTGTGTATGTTTGTTAATGGAGTTAAATTTAGTGTGAGAGGATGGATTGGGGAGTGAGGAAAATGGGCTAGAGTAGAGATGTTGAAGATGGGTTTTGAGGTTAGGGTTATTTAAGTTTTAATTAATAAAATTGAGTTGATGTTGTTGTAAATGTGTTGTGCATGTGTGAAAGGTTGATTTGGGGTATAGTTTTGAGAGAAATTGTTGAAACGACATTCCCTTCTGGAAGTCCACTGTAAGAAGGGCAAAATTTCTCTTTACCAAGTATTAATTCGCCTGAATGTGGACCACTTTCGCGTCTACGTCCAGAGCCCCAAAGTCTTGTTTCTGTTTGGTATTCTCCTCTCTCAGCTCGTGGAATCCTCTAGTAGAGTCCATATCAATCTTCTGTTTAGTCATGTGTAAGGTAAGCAGAAACTGTATGAGAAAAGAAACAAGAGTTAGCCTTTTTTTTTTTTTTTTGAAAATCATAAAAGTTAGGAAATCAACTAATACTAAAAAGTCCTCGACAAGAACAAATTGTTTTACCCGGCTTTGCAACTGAAGTGCAATAGCCGCTAGATCCGCGGGTCGGGAAGCCACGAACTCCTCGAAGGCTGCAACAAGTTGGCATTCCAGCAACGTATACACCACCGACTGCAGGTGCTTCGACAGTTGCCCCGTGGAATTCAGCACATGAGGGTCTGATCCTAGAGGAAGAAGCACCTCGTCGACTCGTTGCTTGCCCACTCTCATTTGGGCAACTACGACCTCCCTTTCTCCTCTGCGCGAGCTCTCGAGGACCGCCGAAGTGCCAGGGACACTCCTCGAGGGCACCCCCAAGTGGAAAGCCTGGTAAGGCTGCAATCCCTCGGGCAACATCCCGAAGCCCTCTGGCTTGGACTCTGACTCTTCCTTGGTAAGTAGCTGTTTCCTCTTCTTGGCCTTCTGGCCCATGGTTTTCTGCTTTGCAACGTGAGTAGCCACGGGCCGAAAAGCCTCTCCACGTCGCTCCATGGATGTTCGCCTTTCGCCACCAATCTGTACCCCTCCTATGGGGATATTGCCAGGGGTCACCTCGACTGGCTCAGTCAGGTCGACCCGGGGAAATATGAACCCCTTAGTTCTCTTCGATGGCTTTGGAACCCTAGATGGCATAGTCACTGCGCGCCATGGAAGCATGTTAGCGAAAAGGTCACCTCTGCAAAAAAAAAACCAAGGCGTTGTGGATCCGAAGGGTTTTTTACTGATGTATGCATTGGTTGGCCTGGTTCGATGCCTGATGATCAGGTGTTGGAGAGTCTGCCTTGTATCAAAGAGCAAGCGGGGGGCTTTTGAAGGAGTGTGGATTGTTGGAGGTTCAGGGTATCCCTTACTGGATTGGGTGTTGGTACCTTATACACAGCAGAATTTGACATGGACCCAACATGCGTTCAATGAAAAACGGGGAGATTCAAAGGGTTGCTAAGGATGCATTTGCGAGGTTGAAAGGAGGTGGAGCTGTTTGCAGAAAGAACAGAGATTAAATTGCAGGACCTGCCAGTGGTTCTTGGGGCATGTGTGTGCTGCATAATATATGTGAGATGAGCAATGAGGAGATGGATCGAAGCTTGAAATTTGACCTTGTCGACGATGAGATGATCCCAGATGTTCCTGTGAGGTCAGCCACTCAATGAAGGCTAGAGATGCCATTGCTCATAATCTTTTGCACCATGGCCTTGCAGGCAATGCATATTTATAGTTGAATGGATTGTTGTGTTTGTTCATTTGATGAGAATATGATTTTTTTCTTTGTTAATGAATTATCATAGTTGTGTATTCATCCTAATTTGATGAGGGGCTATCTAAACATTACATATATATATTTGCCCCTCCTTCAAATTGATGAACATTGCTAGTCTTACATAGCTTTTAAGTTTATACCCAAAATGACAAACAATGTAGCCTAGGTTCCATACTCCAACAAGAAATAAAAGATGAATGAATTTTAACATTATGATATCTTCTTTTGCTATGGTTTATAAGTGTTAATGTCAATGTTGAAATGTTATGTATTATCATTCTGTGATTATTTAGCTGCATATAGTTCACTGACATGATCCCAGAACACAACTAATGTTCTTGTATATCTGTTTGAAGGAAAGTTTTTATGTTTGCAGAAATAACATTTTGCTTTATACCTCTTGCACTTATATTATTCTGTTATTTGACTCATCAACACTCAATTGGCATGAATCTTGCTGTTATAAAATGGTCAAATTCCCAAACCTAAGAGTTGGATTATTATATGGTTTAAGTTCCTTCTCACTGTTTGAAAATTAAAACAAGCACACTTCATGAACATGTAACAATGATATTTTAATTTTCGATAGGTTTCTCATAACTGAAAAAAATGATGCAATATGTTTGATTAAGCAGTCATGAAATGGGCAATCATCATCAAGTTA